AAGGAAAGAAAGAAAGAGAAGGAAAGAGAGAAAGAGAAGGAAAGAGAGAAAGAGAAGGAAAGAGAGAGAGAAGGAGAAAGAGAGAAAAGGAGAGAGAGAGAAGGAGAGAGAGAGAGAGAGAAGGAGAGAGAGAGAGAGAGAGAAGGAGAGAGAGAGAGAGAGGAGAGAGACAGAGAGAAGGAGAGAGAAGGAGAAGGAGGGAGAAGGAGATATAGAGAGAAGGAGAGGGAGAGAGAGAGAGAGAGAAAGAGAGGTGAGAGAGTAAGAGAGGAGAGAGAGAGCAAGAGAGGAGAGAGAGAGGGAAAGAGAGGAGAGGGAGAAAGAGAGGAGAGAGAGAAACAGAGGAGAGAGGGGTGGGTGGGTGGATAGGGAAAGGAGAGTGAAAGGAGAGGGAGAGGAGAGAGAGAGCCGTTGTCTTCACAACACCTGAACCTGAAACAAGTAAGGCTCGTTTCACGGCGAGCAACCCCCTCGTTTATGAACTGCTGTTGCCCCCGAGGTTCCTGCGCCTCACTGTGAGCCGCCTTCCTCGGACGCTGCTGCCACTGACACACACAAAAGCTATATCTATCCATCTATCTATCTGTCCATATCTATGTATATGAATGAATAGAAGAATAAAAAATAAATATATAAGCAAATGTATTAGCAAATAAAAAAGTAAATAAAAATAAATAAACAAAAATAACAAATAAATGCATACATACATATATTTATATATACATATATATATATATATATATATATATATATATATATATATATATATATATATATATATATATTATACGCACATGCATATATGATATGTATGTATATACATACATACATTATATACATATACATATATATATATATATATATATATATATATATATATATATATATATATATATACATATTAATATGCACACTCATATGTGATATGTATGTATATACATACATTCATACATATATCTATATATATACATATATATGTATATATACACATACACATATATATACGCACATGCATATATGATACTGTATGTATGTATATACATACATACATATATATATATATAACGGCGGGCTGTGGGTCCCTCTGGGTTGGCGACTGCTGGGACTCGGGTGGAGAGGGGCGGATACCCATCATCCCATCTGGGTCCCAGCCGCCAACCTGGTATGATGCTTGTGGGGGAAAGCCCCCGGGAGCCCTGCGGGCGGATTATGGGACCTGCAGCCAGCCAACCTCCTCTATATGGGGCAGCGTCGGTAGGGGTGGCAGAGGTGGCGCCCACCCGGAGTGACTGCCCGAGGTTAGACCTCAGGCGGGCTGTCAGAGTGGGTGTTTGGAACATCCATTCCCTACGACAGGACGATCAGCTACCACTATTGTCGAGGGAATTGAAGCAGCTGAGAGTTGAGGTAACTGCTCTCTCGGAGGTGAGAAGACCTGGTAGTGGCACGATTAGTGTGAGTGGCTACACTTATTACTGGTCAGGCCGCAGCGATGGCCACCATCTCCAGGGAGTAGCCATAGCCATCTCCAGCAGACTTCAATCCTCAGTAGTAGAGGTCACTCCAGTCGATGAGCGTATTATGGTATTGGCTTCATGTCTCTTATTGCTGTATACGCTCCTACGGATGTATATAAACACCAAACTTGCATCTGTGGCAGACAGTTGTCCTCGGCTAGATATTCGTATTGTTCTGGGTGATTTCAATGCGGTATCTGGCTGCGATTGAGCTGGCTACGAGATGTCTGTTAGTCCTCATGGCTCAGGAGCTGATGCTGGCAGTGAGAATAGCCTCCTTTTCCATGACTTTGCTAGGTCCCAGAAATTGAGGATCTCTGGCTCCTGGTATCAGCGTACTGTCCCGCACCACAGGACTTGTTACAGAGAATCGGGTAGTGTGGCCAAGGAGAATGGCCACATTCTCGTTAGCACTTGGTGGTGGATCCTCCAGAACTGCAGGATGTATCGAAGTGCTGAGTTCTGTGGAACTGAACATAGATTAGTTGTGGCCACTCTCCGGGTTCACTTTAGAACCCCCCGTCGCCCAAATGAACACCCTAGGGTGTTTCATCTGGACAGACTGAGGGAGGACGAGCGTGCCCAGGGGTTTGCCGAAGCAATCTCTGGTCGTCTCACAGGACTCGAGGGCCTGACAGACCCTGTTCTTATGTGGGATACCTTCAAGTGTGAAACACTTGATGCAGCTCAAGCATCCATTGGTGAACGCCCAAGAGCAAGACAGAATTCCATCTTGCAGGAGACATTGGAAGTCACAGATGCCTGTTGCATGGCTCGATTGTCAGGGGATCGCAACTTGCACTTTTCTCTGGTACACAGGACTAGGTCACTGTTTAGAAGGGACAATGAACAGTTTATCAGTAATCTTGCAGAGGAGGTCGAAAGCCATTTCTTAATAAATGACCTTCCAAGCCGTCCTCAAAGGTGACTGCAGTCCACTCAACAAGTGGCCAGATAATCTTAGATCCTGATGGAGTGCGTGT